CAAACAAAAGGTGCAAAGGTTTTTGTACACCATATCCGGATTTCGACAATTAATGTCTCTTCAGTGATGTTAGGGATCGAAACAGTATTTGGAAGGCCATAAAATTTACCTCAATTTAGGATAGACTCTTGAATTTTAAAGAGTCGAAATAGGATGAACGGATCATATAAACCCGAAGGAAAATATAATACAAGCCCAAACGAAAAAATATAAACAAGTCATATATACATGTATATATATCAAGTGGTGATAGCCGTATAACATATTGATATTGTGTATTTACATTATCCGCCGAGTGTTTGGGGGTGTGCCATGTTTTGAAAAAAATCGTTTACAGATTACAGATAGTTGAAAAGAGGAAAAGAAATATAAAGGTTCATAGAAAACAATATCAATAAATTTAGTTGGCTGTTGAGCCTGGTATGCCAGCTAGCTTATTTTGTTGCTCTACAATACTATTAACAGATAAAATAAGCTAATATGTCTTAAATTTTAAACAAATTAATGTTATTCAGAATGAGCTTTGTATACAGTTAAAAAAGCAATTAAAACTGTTAAACGTGTTATATGACTAATAGACATTTGCAGAAACTAGGTCTATACCTAGGATTATACTTAGACTGACGATTACAGTTGACGAAAGACAAGGGGTAATCTCAAAATTTAAAAAAAGCAACAATAGAGATACACAGTCTAGCCAAATGATTTTTTTTGGGGTTATGTATATAAATCTTTTCGACGACACACTAATGCAGCGCAAATGGTCATGACAGATTTGAATCGCTGTATTGGATGTCACCTAAAAATCCTCATAATTTTATATTTTTTTAATTCTCCGATGGCGTGTTCAACGTTTATTCTATGGTTTGTTATAAGTCTATTTAATTGTCTTCACTTCCTCTACATATTCTGGGGTTTTTCGAACAATCTGTTGTCTTACATGTATGACGTGTCAATATTGTATGTCTGTTTGGATATATTTTATCGCCCACCAAAAACAGCAGAGAACCATACGCGTTTCCCGAAAAACACAGTACATCTTTTTATGTTATAATTCCAAAATTGTGTCTTACCTTAATTTAGTATAGAAAAATAAAAAAAAAATCGTTAAGAGGGTACTCTACAAACGGTGTACTTGAAAATCACGGGAAATGGTATAAGCAAGTTACACAATTTAAATATTAAACCCGCCGCAGGGCAGTGCTTTTGAAATATTAATGTCCTTCGTTTTCACAATTACATCTTTGTATCCGCAACTGCTCCCTAACCGAATTAAATAGTGTGATTTTTTCAACAATTTCTTCTCGTCTGACATACCTTTGCACCTTTAATCCCTTTTAATCAACGGTTTGATTTTGCAGATAAAATTTGTGTGACCGTCATAAGTGCACCATATCGTACAATTTCAGGAAAACTGTACCTGTCTCGGATCATGAGTTACTGATCTTGCTTCGAGCAGTCCAGCCCCACCTATGTTCATGGTAGAGTGTTATCGACACCGTGAAAAAAAAACTCGTCCATACTCAAATGACTCCCAAGATCTCTATAAAAGCAAACAACTCAGAATCCGGTAGTCATTTTTTACCTGCGTCGCTGAAGGCGAAAGCAGGTCTAGTAACCGCTCGACCCTGTCTGTCCGTCCATCCGTGCGTCCATCCGTGCGTCCATCCGTCCGTTCATCAGTGCGAAAGACCTTTGGTAGAAAACTTTCCTCAAAATATTTTTTCTTGGTTTCTATTGAAGGGAATGATTTTATATTTAGTCTGTAGCTTAATAATTACGAGTTGCAGCGTGTAAGCTATTTTTACATCTGTCGTGCAGCCAATCTCCGGCGCAAAGTTCTTATCCGTTCCGTTCCATACTACGTAACACTACACAAATATTAAGTGTAGTATGGCGGAGCATGTACGGAACGGATATGAACTCTGCGCCGGAAATTGCCGTGCAGCTACTTCCTGTTTGCAGATAGTTTGAAATTTGATAATTTTCACTGCACAAGAAAAATTTCGTTGCTTGTATTAAAAGGTATGATTTCATATTTGGTCTGCAGCTTCATAATGATAAGAAGTAGCATGTATGCAATTTTTACATCAACCATGCAGCCGCTACATGTTTTCCAGTAGTTTAAAATTTTACAATACTCATTGTAAAATGAGAATTCTCGTCAAATTTTTCTTGCCTTCAATGAACGGGAATGATCAGGTATGCTTCAGTAAACCTCCAACGTCAATAAATAACATTCAGCGACGCAGGGACAGACCCGGTATTTAATTTGAAAAGATAGATTGTAAAATTCCAACTATTTTAGTACACCTATTTTACATTCCAACAGAGTCTGACGAATAGTTTAAATTATATATTCAACACAAAGATGTTCATTGATAGTAGTGTTTTTTTTTCGTATATTTTTGATTTTTTTTAAACCAAAAAAGTGGACAAAAGTATTTGACCAATTCAATAAAAAAATAAAAAATAATAAAAATATACCGAACGGCAAGTTTAATGCCATGAAGAATAAACAGTTCTTAAACACCCACCCGCTGTATCCCCTCATTCTCTTTTAAAAAATGGAAAAAGTATGTCTTAGCATAGAAATTTAACATTGTAAACATGCTCCTGAATTGATCGCCCAGTTCTTAACACCAAGTCTTGCTGAAAATAATTTTGAAATGTCTTGACCTAGCCAACGTCAATTGCGATTTTTTTTTCTTCATGTCGCGTGTACAATTTATTAAATTGTGTTTTTTCCATTCTATCATACGCCGTACATTTACAGCATGTTCAACCTGGGTAACACCATGTGCAATAATTAATGAGTAAACATTACTACTTATATTTCTTTAAAATCCCCGTTGTTCAGATGTATGAAATTATCATACGAGTTAGACTTTTTTTTAGAACGACGGTTTATAATTACACTTTGAGACGACCCAAGATATAAATGCTACCTGTAAGTGTAATCGTTATCCTAATCGTAGGTGTATGACAGTTTCCGCAAATGTCTATTTACATGACTTTTAGTTTACCCTTGTTTACCTCTGTTGCATCTTCAAAAAAATGATGTTGAACACTAATATACAGTATTTGTCTTTGTAAAGTGTCTGCTTGATTCTATATCTCTTTTCAAATCTCGAATGTTGTATCGTCAGTTGAAGATTCATTTTGTGATCTTACTATGTTATCTCTCAAAAGTTCTACCTCTCCAGGACATACAGTGAATAATATGCACACATGCCGTGGGTTCACTGGCATCTCACAGGGGTTAAACTTTTACAGGAATTTCTTCTGGTACTTAGGCCTAAGAAGAAATTCAGTACTTTCATTTTAGAAAGCTTAAACACTGATGCCTCTTATACATGGCTGTCTTGACTGTACTAATGAGTAGACAGTGCATCAATTGTCTCCTACTGTACAGACTGAAATTATATTCATGTGAACAGAAGATATTAATAAATTACAAAAGTAAAACAAAAAATATTTATCTGAAAGAACATATCATGGCAAACCATAGGAGCATAATTGAACTGATGCCATACAACTTTCTCTCTGAAAAAAAACGGATTTTGGATAGCCAATTATCCGGATACCTATGCTGAGGTAATTTCTCAAATCCAACGAGAATTCTCAAGAGGATATGAAGGCAAAGATCGAGGTACTCAAGATTATCAACAGAGTAGGAAACAACAATAATGCAGGAAGATTGGATACTTGGTTGGAAATGCCCCAAAGAAATGGTTAAGAGAACACAAAAGGAGGAAGTTGAGCAAGAACCAACAATCCCTAAACGAGACCAACTATTTATGAGGGATTGGCTTTACAACAACTTACGTTAGGATTAAGAGACTCAACTTCCATATTCAAACTGGATCTTGGTGTATCAATCAACCTGAAAGACAATGTCCTGAATGATCACAAGATTCGGCAGCTTTGATTAGAAGAATGACTGCACTTGTAAATGTAAAATACATTGGTGTGCATTCCTTCTCTACCACGATAGACGGGGAGTTGAGGTCAGTCATAACAGCAGGAGTGGCTAGAAAAATTTATCACCGAGAAGTATATTGCAGGCATCAAAACTGATGAATTATTTCTAGGAAAACAACAACCAACAACCAGTCCAAATCCATTATCGCCTTCAACATCAGGAATATTGTTAGAGGATGACAGCGAGGAGAATGAGGAACAAGAAGAAAATAAGAAAGTAACCAATCCGGAGAAAAATAAGAAGACAGACATTGAAGGACAGAGATATTGCTTTTTCGAGTGTTGATCAATTTTAAAAGAAGTATGCCGTTATAATATATATTCAAATAAGTAAATAAGTAAATACCAGGCCAAACGTTACAACAAAATGAAATTTACAACATTTTCAGCAATTTTTCATCTTTGGCAATAGTTTAAAAGTTCCTTTCTTTCTTTCTTTCTCACGCCTGACTCGCGTTTCGTCTACTAAAGTCTCATTGGTGACGCTCCAATAAAACAAGTTAAAAGGCAAAATAAAGTACGAAGTTAAGGAATATTGAGGACCCAAAATTACCAAAGGTTTTGTTAAATACAGTTAAGGCAATTTATTCCTGGTGTAGAAAATCTTTAGTATTTCGAAGAAATGAAAAGGAATTCACCATAAGTCTGTCACTCAAGTATATTATACATACACAAAGTACTACCTTTACTTATTTTTGCAAGCTTATGTGCAAATAATGTTTTGTTAATGTGAAGCGGAAACAAACAACCCTTTGTACAAACCAGGAAAACTGACACTTAATGAAAGTAATCTAATTTTAACATGTGATGTTTGATATAAATTCATAACAAACAATGTTTTTATATTGACAATTACATAGTTAAAAACATAGGAATGTGAAAAAGTTACTATTTTCCTTGACAACTATTGTACTTTTCTCGATGACATTATATTTTTTTCTTAACACTAATTATTTGTATATTAAACACCTTTTTAGCATTAACCACCCAACATATGCAATAAAAAGCAACGTATATTATACCCTAAAGTCTTTATTGTATAATTTGATTTGAAATTTCTTTGCATTCTTTTTCGTTACATAATGAGTAAAAACCCAGCTAAATGTCTTCATATCGGTACTGAACCAAAAAAGCCAGCTTCTCCATTCATGCATTTGGAATAGATACTCAGAGCTTTCTTTTCATCTATTTCCTGCTTTGAGAAAGCAGCATTCACACGGACCTCCAACTTCTTATATCCTTCAGAAGAAGGATTAAAATTTGAATTGACCCAGTCAGTGTATGCCCCAAAATCATCCTACAAATAAAAAGAAAGTATAAAATGTAATGCATGATTTTGATAATGTTTAAATGATATTTTGATAATATAGGAAACATTATCATGTGATACGACATTCCACATTAAATTGTTATAATGATAAAATTTAATAGTATATTTTATCGTAAGTAATAATTACAATGTAAACATAGAAAGCCTTTTTTTCTTTTCATAAGGCAGTATAATTCAATGTAAATTGGCGGATGTAGAAAAAAATAAAGAAAATCATTATTTAATGACATAACTATGTACGCGTACATCGATAGTGTATGATAGAAACAATGGAAGCGATTTTTAAGAGCAGTAAATGGGGAAAAACCCATTAAAATTCAAGTATGCATTTTCAATTCGATAACTCTGAAAGGAGGAAAATAAATTATTCCAATATAAGATAATTTCTGGATGCATAATATTATACACATGAAGCAATAGGACATCATCAAATTATTGAAGAAAAGATTTTTCAATCAGCCCTTATGATACTTTAACACTATTTATAGCAACAAGATCAAGGAGCAAAGTCATGTCTATTGTTATAAAAAAGTCTCTACTATGTCAAAGATGAATTTTGTTTTTTACCTAAAAAGGGTTTTAGTATAAACAAATTTGCAAAGTGTTATTTTCAAATTGACTATATATCAACTTTAAAGCAACCAATATCGGCTATTTATACCGTTTATCACAATCTGTTTAAAATAATAAGAATCTTTCTGCGTCTTTTCTTCTTTCAAAAAACTTATTTTCGATAAAGAAATATTCCAGACTATCGCATTATAATTGATACTTATTTCATACATATAATATAATAATTGATTTGTATGATGTTTTCTCTAGAAGTTTCTTTTCGGTGGATTAAATTTTCTAGATATAAACTTAAGCACCAAAGAATGACAGAGAGTTCACGTATACGTTAAAATATGTCATATGAATAAAAGGAGATGTAGGGTATACGCGAATCAGTTTATTTAAGGTGGTACCCAACACCTTGACTAAAATTAATTTGGCTCGTTTAATTTTCATAAAATTTTGACATAATGTTTACTTTGACCCTTTGACAAAAATATAAAAACTTCAAAGAATTTGAACCAACCACTTTATCAGAAAAATTTCGTTGGTTATATAGCAGTTTGACAAACACTAATTTTGATCATTGAGAAGCGTAATATTTCCTTAACAAAACAACGTGATTAAAACGTTTAGCTGATTTTTACAGAGTTATCTCCCTGTAGTGTTAGGTACCACCTTAATATAGAAATAAAAATGAAAAAGTAAACTGTAAATTTAATAGTAGGAATACACTTTACATACCTTTGCTGCAGTCAGTTGTTGTCCAAGCCATGGCCACAAACGTGCACATGGAATCAATGCCACTAACATGTAATATGCATCATCCTTAGATGCCACATCCGCCACAGTATCAACATATTCTTGACATTCTTTTCCCAAGTAGATGGCCTCTCCATCTCTTATATGCCATTTGTCAAATAAATCTTCGTAATAGCTGTAATAAAAGCGATTTTAAAGGAAGCTTGCCATGCCACTAAGAATATGACAAGTTGCAGTATAAACAAGTAAACATGGATATGAAAATAATAGAATTTTCGTGAATTTAAAATTGAGTGGGATACCTTAAAACTTAACAAATGTTTGCATTTTTTAAAACATTAAATAAAAGCCATCACCTGTACTAAGTGAAATGAGACCTTTTGCTCTAAAATTAGGTAACAAATTTACATGAGCAACACGACGGGTGCCACTTGTTGAGACCACCCCGGTATTTGATTAGGTTCGTCTTGCTCAGTCTTTTGTTTTCTGTGTTGTGTTTTGTGTACTGTTGTTTGTCTTTTGGTCGTGTTTCTTATTTGGCCATGGCGTTTTCAGTTTGTTTTCGACTTAAGAGTGTGAATATCCCTTCGTTATCTTTCATTTCTCTCTTTTACAAAGTAATGAGATACGAAAGGGCAATTTAAAGTTTATTTGTATTTGGCTCAAAACAGGACAGAAATGTTTGACAAAGTCCTGTGTTCAACCTGTTTTTAAGCATCGTGAAAATATTATATTTAAAAAAAATATATATTATATATAAAATAATTGTTCCATATTTGCTTAAAAAATCAGACTAATAGCAAAGTAATAATTTTTTATGAAAAGTTAAAGCTAAAGTTAAGCATAAATATAATAATACCTTTTGTAATCACTCGATTCATGTTCTAAAAATATTTTTAATGGACTCATTTCTGCTCGTTTCGCAGCCACTGAAAGAGATTCGTGTGCTTTTAGGCAATAAACTGCATCTTGCACCATGTAAGCCCCTAAAAAGAAATTACACTTAAAACAAAAGAAGAAAACAAAACATTGACAATTGTAAATTCCCATGACAAAGACCACAACTTTCAGTTATAAGAGGGCATTTCATGAAGATATACACAAAATGTTTATGTCATAGAGTATTCGAATCCCTAAAACCTAAAATATGTATAAACCTGCATATACTCGTTTTCTATGTTTGTTTGCTTTTTTTTTCAATACATCTTTCTATTTAGCATTGTTGTTCTAGATTCGTTTTGTTCTTATTATGTCATTTTTGTGTAGGATTATTGCGCATAATATACTCATTTGGGATATATCTTGTGCAAGGCATTGAGGTCTCCTGTCAACAGGATTTTGGTACGCCAGACACGCGTTACGTCTATATAAGACTCATTAGTTACGCTCGAATTAAACTCAGACGTAAGGCCAAATCGAATGAAATAATGAAGAGCAATAAAAACCGAAATTCTGAAAAAGGTGTGAAAAAAACTATCAAGGCAATATATGCCTGGAGTAGAGAAACCTTAATGTTTCCGATAGTTCAACATCTTATAAACAGTAAATTTACAGAAAATTATCATTATTTCATGTCAACACAAAAGTACTGATTGCTATGCTGATGATACCCCGTGACTAAACATCTACCACCAGTGACATCGTCCCAGTAGTTGCTAAAACTGTTCAAAGATGCCCGGTTTATAATTTTTGGAACGCCAGACACTTCGGTCTACATAAAAAAATCAGTTATCTAATATTAAAACTGCAAAAAGCATTGATTTATGATTTATATTTCCTGAAAATCCATCATAGCAAAATCAGCAATAAAATTACGATACGTGTTGCTTGCATACGTATACGTGATAGCTGGAAATTTTGTATATGTCCAGTGTGCAGATTTTACCATTTATGATTGAACAGCAAATCAGGCAAAATTTGATGTCCGTATACAACTTTGGTCTCAACCTGCAAAATCCTGCTAATTTCAGTGAGGAATGCTAGGTAAATTTCAGGAAAAAAGAATTTAATTCAGTGAATCAGAACATTGTCTTCACTCATACTTACCATAAAATTTCAAAATATTTTTGTTAGCATATGCATAACCAGAATTTCCCCTCTTATTGGTCAAATATGTTATTTTGTTAAATAACAAAGAACGAACAACATTCGATGTGTTTCTTTTTTAGTGCTCTTCTAGTTCTATCTGTCATGTTGCGCATGGCAAGTGAAGGTCAGTAATAAGTCAGATTCGGTGATAACATGAACGACAAATAGAGGACGGGATTGTAGTAACGACAGTAAGAACATACCCATGAGTATCTCTGAAATAGATATCCAATTACTATCCAATAATGCTGACGTTCGTTAAACTTTCTTAGAGATGACCCTGTACGTTACCAAAAGTAAACATTGGTGCAATAGCTTCCTTAAAAAAGGCTTATACTAGATATGAACACAGACGTTTATTTGCATGATCTATTACAAATATGAAAAGAAATATCCCTTTTTTGTATTAGATTACTGCGAATTAAATAATTTCCCGAGAACAAGCCGGTGTCCTCCTGCACGTAAACCCTTGCAAAGTGAACTGTCCCATTGAACAAATACAGTAGCCATTTTCACTACGTAACCTTAGATCTAAAAAGTTGTTTTATTTGTACGTCATAAAAAGGCATAATTAACTTATGATATGTTTAAGTTCCAAGATTTTGTGAGAATGGTACCCACTCCATATTGTTATTACATCACATGTCAGGAAATACACCGTGCGTTACTCGAATTAAATATACATAACACTCTAAAAATTTCCTGCGCCAGAGGTTTACCTTACCAAAAGATGTTGGATGTAGCATTCCATCTTTAACACCTTGAACAAAGTTGGTGTTTAATGCTTTCATCCTTGTGTCTTTAGTTTCTGTCCACAACCATTCACAGAAATCGTAATCATTACATGGTTTGTCGGAAAGTGTACATTGTAGAAGTTTACCGACAGCACCGTCACTGACACACCTTGGACTGGCTTTCCACATGACTTAGCACAATAGCGTTGATCGGCGAAACTGAATGGATTGTGGAAAATATACAATTAGACGATGTATAACTCAGATATTTTGATATTAGAATGGTAAAAACCAAAAACTACATATTCAATATGTTAACGCTCCATTTTTTTTTTCTAAACACTTAAACATGTTAAAGTGTTGAGGCAATCGGTAATAAATAGACTACGGAACTTTCTAAACCTCATTAAGTAATCCAAAATTGTATCAATTCTCCATATGAATCAATACTGTTTATTTTTTTCAAAGATTGTTAGAAAATTGGCATACCAGTTTAAAAAAATCATATGTGTCAATTGCCTAGTATTTTTAAGATTTAAACAATTCTCTTAAAAATGTGGAAAAAAAAGTTTGAAATTCCTTTAAAAATTACAAAATCACAAAACGGCACTCCAAACTTACATAAGTTGTACAGATTCAAAGAGAAATTACATATCATCAACATTATGCTCTGTTGCACAGCCTTAATAAGAAATTTGTGCAAAAACTATAGGAATTTCCTTTATGTCATTTACCTGACAACATTTGTTTCATTTCGTAAATTTTCTTCAAAACACGGATGTGATTTGTTCTTCAATAAATTTGCATAATTGTTCTTTCAATCTAATATATTTATATTGATAATAATAATTTCATTCCACTTTCATCACAATATGTCAATAAGAATAGCAACTGATTTCGGATAAACATTTTCGCAAACAATACGTTAGAAAATAGTATAATGAATATGCGCTAAAAAATACAACATGAAATTGACATGAAGTTCGGGATCGATTTCCCGACGAAATGTATGAGAAATATCAGGTAAATTTAGTGCATGTTTTTTCAGAAAAATGTAGAATTAGAATAACAATTTTTGATGATCAAACAAAGCACTCGATCGCCTCCTCCACCTCCCCCACACACAAGTATTTATCCCTCATTCGTTATTACTATATATATATAAAAATATTAATTTTCGCGAACCATTTAGGTCACGGAAATTCCATTTTTTGCCATCAGTAAGGCGAGTTGTACAAATGATGTGAATACACAGAACCCCGATCCAATTCATCTTTTGCTAAAAATATTTATCGTTTTCTGTTTTATATCTCCTAACATCATTCCATTTTTCTCTAATTTCGATTAAAATATGCCAAAACCTGCAGTAAAAATAGATGTATGCCCCAAATAAACATTCCCCGATTGGTTGAAATACTATGGCGTCAAAGTAAAGCAACGAAAGCCTCGATGTAAAGCAACGCAAGCCTCGATGTAAAGCACACGCTTCCCAAGAGTAAGGAGAGTTGTACAAATAATGTGAATTCACAGACCCCCGATCCAATGTATCTTTTGCTAAAAGTGTTCATCATTTTCTGTTCTGTATTTACCAACAACATTCCATTTTTCTATAATCCCGATTTAAACATGTCGAAACCTGCAGTAAAAATAGATGTATGCCCCAAGTAAACATTCCCCGATTGGTTGAAAAGCTGTGGCCTCGATCTAAAGCAACGCAAGCACACGCAAAAATTTCCGTTGAAATGTTGAACTTCGACCCCGAGCCGATTCACATAGAGATTTTCTTGCGCTCAAATGTAATTCTAAGTGAAGTATACTGGTAAAGTAAAATTATGTTCTTTTACAGAAATATTTACACATTTTATTATTAATGTATTGTCATGCTTCTGCATATTTACGCTGAGCTTTAGTTAAATATAATTCTATACAAATTTTGTTACGTCAAGCATTAAGAGTAAGAATATATTTCGCGCCAAAACCAGAAAATAATCTGTGTCACCAAATAAGTTTATCAGCATCTTTCTGAAATTTTCCAACAGAAAATAGCGTTAATTATAGAGAAATTTTGGTGAGTATTACTTATTAATGTTAAGGTTCTCCAGAGGTGGTTCTCTACACCTTCTTGGCGGTCAATTTAATCCCATTTATCAATTATCCCCGATGGCGATGACATCCAGTCGATATTGTGTCATGAGTGAAAATCTTATCTATTTGATGAAATAACTTCTTCATTAACTGTACAATGTAATATTTTTGTAGTTTTTGATAACCGTGTACATTCCCATTGCATGTCCGCAAGATAAATGGGTTATGCATTTGTGAATTGTGTAAGTACAGTTAATATTGTGTGATAAAAATTTGTGACGGTCAGTGCGTGATCACGTGACATTATTATTTGTAAACAAACGGGCTCCCCATGTAACACGTGTCGGAACTATCCATATAAGGTGCAATCAATCTTTTATTTCACTATTTGATGATATTTTTGTGTCTGTTTGTAGATTTTGCAGATCAGATAATCGACAGATGTCATAGTGTAGTTTCATAGGTAAAAAAGTATCATGATCGTTCCTGTTCAGTAGTTGTGAATTTTTTTTTATAGAATTAGAAGGTAATTCTACATTAGTCATTATTTGAATTAAGTCTGAAAAAAATGACTCAACTCTCTGTGTAATTTTCCCCAATTTTTGAAACATGCATAATTTAAAGAGCATTTGCTTCCCTTGAACCCTCCCCCCCTTACAAATTGCCCAAAACTCATACTCATAGTCCGAGATTACTCTGGTGTTCAACATCTGTTTTTGCGATTCCGGCATTTTAACTCTTTATTTTCAAATTGAACACACTCGGCCATTCAGCTTATTTGCATCATAAATGAACGAGGTGTTAGATTATGTTTTCCTATTGAATAAGGGTCATTTTCATAAATCAGCTCTCATACATGTAATGCATTGTAAATTACTTTTCTGTTGGTCATGTCACAATCTTTTAAAGTTAAAGTAAAAATGCCAGTATTGATGTGTCGATGTGAAAACTGTCCAAATATGAGAAAAAAGCGGGTGGCAGGTCGATTAAACTTACTTTAATGAAGAGAAAAATGAACTAATTGAGCTCGATTTATATAGATTATGTTTTCCTATGGAATATGGGTCATTTGTATAAATCAGTTTCCATAATGTTGGTCATGTGACATTCTTATAAAGTGAAAGTTAAAATGAGGGTGGTAATGGGGGTACCTTCATGACGAATAACGGTAAAAAATCCTGCCAAATGACGTTAACGGTAATTTTTGGTGCATGACAATAAAATACTTTCTTCAAGACGATAAAAAAATAGACAGATTTTGACGAAACACGTTAATTTTTCCCAAAAAATAATGGTAACGATAATTATTTGAGACCTCTGACGAATCACGATAAGGATAAGTTGACGAATCACGGTAAAATGTTAACCAATTTGATGCTAACGGTAACCGAAAATGACTGTTTGACGCCTGACGGTAAAAGGCATTCATACCATCTAAAATGACAGTATTGATGGGTCAATGTGAAAACTGTCCAAATATGAGAAGATAACGGGTGGCAGGTTGATCAAACTTACTTAAATAAAGAGAAAAATGAATAAATTGAGGCTTGATTTATATGAATCCAGTCGCCTCCACTTCGGACAGGCAAATATCATCTATCTGATATGGGACCAGCTGAAGTCCCACTGCCCTAGCTTGTGTCGCAAAACAGTCGTTGGAGGTTAGAGTAATCTCCGACTACAAAACTCAATTCCAATGACAAAAATGCCCTAATCTTAAATTGAAAGCATTGGAAAAGTAAACTGTAAACTATAATTTTGACAATGACCACAATTTGTTTTAGTTCAATGTACATGTAATAATATGCGGGATAATACATGAACTTAATACTGCCTCAAGGTTATACAGGTTTGTCAATGTAAAAATAAAATAATTTGTTTGCTAACTTAGGGAGCTACCATTTGATTTTTTAGGGGGGTCTAGGATGAAATTTGAAAAAAAGGCAGGATGAGACAATATGAAAAAAAAGGCAGGATGACAATTTATGTAAACAAGTCGGGATAAACTAATAGAAAAAAAGGCAGGACAAAAAAGAGTGAAAAATAAAAAGGCAGGACAGATAACATCTCGAACTAAAAAAAAATGCAGGAAAATTTTTTTTCATCCTAGCCCCCCCCCCCCTTTTTCCCCCATAAAAATGGAAAGGAAGCTCCCTTATAGTGTTTCCTTCAGAGGGTGTTGGCCTGGAATGGTACCCTGCAGTTTTCATACGCCTGTTCATGAGAAATATTATGGTATGCCTTTGTCCGTCTGTCTGCCCTGATCTGTCTGTTTCTAGCATGTTGTTCACTAACTCAGTAATATTTTCACCAATTTGCATGAAACTCTGGTGAATTGATTATATCTACTGACGTGAGCTCCCTTTTAGATTTTTAGGAATTTTATAATATACATTTTCAAAATGTGAGGTTTTATTCATTAAAAAAGGGGGATTTTCGTGTTAACGCCCATTAACTCTAAAAATGCTTTGTTCACCAACTCTTCAACGCTTTCACCAATTTGCATGAAACTGTTGTGAATTGATTATTTTATAAATTTTAGGTTTCCCGTTTCAGAGTTATATGGGATTGTATTTATGTATTGATGTGAGCTCCCTTTAGATTGTTTTGGAATTTTAGAATTTACATTATCCAGTTACAATGTAAGGGGTTTTGTTCATTCAAAAAGGGGGATTTCCATGTTTTCGGACATTAACTGGAAAATGCTTTAAGCAGTTGTTATTTGTCATGAAACTTTGGTTAATTGTTTATATATATCTATTGATGCAAGCTCCCTTTCAATTTAATAAATTGTGGAATTTTATTCGTGAAAAAGGATGGCTTTCCCAGTTTGTAGATTAAATTAAAAAGTTTGTACATGCACTTCTCTGGCATGTTTCAGTAAATGTGTAAATTATAACTGACATAACTAACTTTGACAATGACCACATATTTTTAAGTTCAATGTACATGAAATATACAAGGTAATGCATGTATACTAGATACTGCTGCAAGGTTATACAGGGTTGTCAATGAAAAAGACCCTGTCATTTTTATACGCCTGTTTACGGGACGTACTATGGTATACCGTTGTCCGTCGTCAACATGCCGGACATTAACTCAAAACCGCTTTAACCAATTTGCATAATACTTTG